GCCGCGACCTTTGACCTGCGGGTGGAGACGGAGCCGAAGGAGTGCACCGAGACCGCCAGATCCCGCTTCAGCCTCGTGCTGCACGCCCGGTACGAGCCCCAGTCCCCCACCCCCACTGGGTCCGAGCGCCCGGGGGCAGGGACGGGCCCCAGGCAGCGGGGAAATGGCCGGGGCAGAGCCGCCCCACTGCAGGGCCGGGGTGGGGCAGGAATCGATCGTCGGGGGAGCCATCCCCCCCACAGAGCTCGGGGCAGAGGCAGGGGCCCCTTGGAATGTGCCAGGGACTAAAGGGCTGGTCCCGGGGCTGATCTAATGGACAGTCGACTCCCAAGGAGCTCCTGGGGCCGGGGCCCCTTGCTGGGGAGCTCAGGGCTGGCAGGGGACTAGCGGGGCTTCCAGCCCAGAGCAGGCAGAGGGCATTAGAGACGCCTGCAGGGCCGAGAAGACGGGAGGCCTCCCCTCCCCCTCCATCCCCCTGAGGTCTGTATCCAGGGCAAACCCCGACCTCAGCGCACGGCTTCTGTTGCAGGTACAGCGGGGAGCGCCCAGCCTCCAACATGGCCATCATCGAAGCCAAGCTGCCATCTGGCTACACCCCCGTCAAGAGCTCCCTGCAGCAGGTGAGCTTCCCAGGGAGGAGAACAGGCCGGGCCAGTCACACAGCATGAAACCAGGGGATGATCCATGGGGGAGAGCCCAGACCCCCAGGAGAGCACAGATTGCAGCTCTGACCCCCAGGGGGAGCTCCCCCTGCAGAGCCCTGCCCCCTGCAGTGGGGCACTGTGCAACCCTGGGTCTCCCATCCAGTCACTGAGCAGGTCCTGACCCTGCTTAGCTCCCCCTACGACACAATGCCCATGTCTAGACTCCCACCACTCCCCCAGCAGACACCCAGTGCTCAGCTGTGACTGACATGGGGGGTGGCAGCCAGGTCCCTCGGCCACGGGGACTTTTGGTGCCCCATGTCCCAGCCCCCAGCAGAGCAGTGACTCCGGCCCCAGCCCCTCCGTTCCTGGCTCAGCCATTTCCTCCCTCTGCTCCTAGCTGGAGAAGCAGCATTTGGTGAAGTGGTTGGAGGAGCAGAACAACCAGGTGACGCTCTATCTGGACCAGGTGAGTGCAGGTGCCTCGGGGCTCCGGGGGCCTGGTGTGAACGGGGAGGGCGTGTCCTGCCCTGGCTCCAGCCCCATTACAGTTGCTCTCCTGGGCTCTGTGTCACATGCGCAGCGAGGGGGTCACTGAAATCTCCCCTGGTTCCAAGTGACCCGTTTCCATAAGGACGGGGAGATGGGACCAGACTCAGCCAAACCCCAGGGCAGGCTGTGAACGGAGCGACGGGGAGCTCAGGGTTGGGAGGCTGGAGCTGGGCCCTGAGTGTGATGAAAGGGGTCACATTTTGCAGGGGGGTGGAACAGGGATTCGGGGGAAGCATTTTCTCACTGCTCCAGGCCGCAGGGGCAGGGGGAAGCGGCTGGGCCAGGCCGAGCCTCGGGGAGGAGGGGGTTCGAGCTGCCAGTGCAGACATTCAGCCCAGGCGCTCGCTCTGTCGCTCTCTCGGCAGCTGACGAAGGAGGCGGCGAGTTTCACCTTCTCCCTCGAGCAGGATTTCCCTGTGAAGAATCTCAGAGCAGCCCCAGTGAGACTGTACGATTACTACAAGACGGGTGAGTCCCGCCCGGGACCCACCACCTTTACAGCCGCTCTCCTGGGCTCTGTGGCACAACCAGTGCCTGGGTAGAGGGTGGTGCCATTGCAATCCCCCCTGCTCCCTGTGACCCATGTCCATGGCTGATCTCGGCCCCCTGCTCGGGCCTGGCCCAGCACTTGGGCAGAGGCTGGCAGCCGACCAGCCGTGGGCCTGCGGGGGTCAAGCTGGAGACACCTGCTGGGGGCGTGTTCCCGGGTTTGATCTGTGGGGTTGGCTCACCTGGCGGGACACGGCAGCCGTGTGCTTGTCGGGCTAGTGGGGCGCATGGGGCTGGTGTAACTGGGGCAGTCCCAGCAGGAGCAGGCGAGTCCCCCTGTCACGGACTCACAGATCGTGCCCACTCTTGGCCCCGTGCGGTCCGTGGGGGGTGCCCCTTTCAGAGCAACAGCCCTTCTCAGGGGTCCACTCTCTCTCGGGGTCAGGCACTCCACCTCCTGGAGCCGCACCTCTCTGAGCCTTAGCACATCTGTCTCTGCCGTGGGTCCCCTCAGGGAGTCCCCTCGCTGTGGACCTCCGGGGCCTCCACCCCCCGAAGGGGATGATGCAACCCTGTTCTCTAGACCGGAGTGACTCTCAGCCAGCGTAAAACAGGAGGGTTTATTGAGCGTTGAACACAGCACAGGAAACTCTCAGGGCCTCAGATCTGGCCTCCCTCAGCACAGCACATCCCAGTCTCCACTGCATCCAGGGGGGCTCTGCCTGCTCCCTCTCTCCAGCCCAGAGCCCTCCTGCTTCCCCGCTGGGCCTCTGATATAACGGGCCCCAAGCCCCGCCTCTGTCCATTGTCTTCTCTCCAGGTAAACTGGGTCGTAAACAGGGTCGCCTGGTCCTCCTCTCCTCTCATCTGTCCTCTAGCCCCCTCTGGCTGGAACTGGCTGGTCAGGTCACTGGGGTCCTCTCTTCGCAGCCCATTGTCCTCCCCCTGGCCAGAACCAGCTGTGACTCCTGAGCTGGGAGTCCAGGTCACCAGGTCACTAGTCGCTGGGGTGTCCATCCTCCAGGCCATTGGCTGGGGTCCCAAGGTCCCTCTCCGGTCCTCTGTAACAACAAACTCCCTCTCCCCTCACCTCATTAAACCAGTAACACCCAGGGACACTGAGTCCCACTCCCTCTGCATGCAAACCTTTGGAAAACCAAGGAAAAAACAAGAAAATCCCCCACTTTGTCACACACCCCCTTTCGGGTTCCCCACATTTCCTCTACCATCCAGCTCCTCAGACGCCCCCAGAACCCTTTGTGCTGGGCCCAGGAGGTGGCAGGATGGTTTCCCTGGGTGCCTGGAGGGGCGAGTGATGAAGCCCATCTGACTTACTTGGAGATGGGGATGGGAGAGAGCGCACAGCCCCACTCAGACAGCTGGGGGCGACCTCTCACTCCCTTCTAGGGTTCAGACCTACAGCAGGGATCCCCTGGGGCTGGGGTAACAGACTCTGCCTGTGTGGGATTAGAAGGAGGGGTTCTCATCCCCCCACTGGGTCTCTCCTCCATTCCTTACATCCCTTGCTGTTGCAGGTGAACACACGGCGGCTGAGTACAGCGCCCCCTGCGGCTCAGGTAGGTATGATGCACCCACACACAACTCCAGTCCCTACAGCTTTATGGGTGGGGGGAGTCCGTGGGCTGGAGAGGTCTGTGTATGTTGTAGATGGCAAAGGAGGGGGAGATGGGAGCATGGACCCCACCAGGACCATGTGTGTGTGAGGAGAGACATCTGGGGGGAAGGGTCTATGTGGGGCACAAGGGAATCTGTCTTCAGGCTGGGGGGTGACTCTGAGGGGAGAGTCTTTGTGGGGGTTGGGAAGTTCTAGGGGGCCATGTCTACAGGTGTCTGCCGGGGGGTGTGTGATTTCAGTCCCATCTCAGGGGATGTTTGTGTTTGTTTAAAGCCCCTGACGCCGACATGATGGGAAATTCCCGCTGAAGCCCCCGCCCCTTCCGTCCCGAGAGCGCCGCACCGGCAGCCGACACCCCAGGATCGGGGGGGCACGGACAGGCCTCGTCTCAGCTTCTGCTCTTCCCCGAACCAGCTGCACTACCCCCCTTAGCACCTTCTTCAGCCAATGCCTCCCCGTTCGCTCTGCAAACATCCCACCTGCTCTCCCATCTCTCAGCCTCCAGACCGGCCCGCGTGATCCCAGCTGTCTGTCACACGCGGGGACCAGTGGCTGCAGTGGGGACCCCTGGGGTTTGCTGCCCATCCTGCCTGGAGAGGCAGGTTCAGTGTAAAACAAAATAATAAACCTGCCATGTCTTTGTGAGGCTGTTTTGTCGCTTTGTGCCTGCCCTGCTGCTGCTCCTCACACGGCTCCTGTGCATCCTTAGAGCAGCCAGATCCTGGGTCCGTGGCTCTGTCCCCTTCCCCAGCCCTTCGGTCATTGCTGTGGGGTTTGCCTTTAACCCTGGGTCGGGCAGCGTCAGCGACAGCCTCCCGGGTTCCAGCCCTGCCTGGCAGAGCTGCCCTCGTTACACACGTCTACATGAAAATGAACCAATTCAACTGAAGTTAGTTTTTTAAACCAGTTTACTTACACCAGTGAAAACCCCGGTGTGGATGCACTTATTGTGGTGTGACGGAGGGTTATTTTAGTTTAGGTTCAATCAATTAGGAATTGAAGCTAAACCAGAATCAACTCTTCTCTCAGACCGACAGGAGCACCTCCACCGGCTTGCATGGGTTGAACTAAATTGCTTTTATAAGTCAAGGCCTAAGAGAGGGAGGAATAGCTTGTCCGACTCCTTACAACTCTTGCTTGTTCTGTTTGTGTTTTGTTACCATCTGTTTAATTCCACGGACCAATGAACACTGTGGGGAAAGGCGATCTGTGTGAAAGGTCTAGCCCCAGTCAACCACGGTGTGAGAGCCGAATGTACATGCTGTGGGATACCCAGCCAGTCCTCCAGAGACCCCAGGACAGAGCAGACTCGACATTCCTGCTACTTACAGGGTAAATAGGAAACAAGAAAAATAAATCCATAGACCGTTCAGACCCTCCCTGTCCATCGTAAAGAAGCAAAAACTCTTCGTAGGCCCCTTTAAAAGCAGGAAGCTCATTTTCCCGTGTGCAGATGTTAAAGGCACCTGATGCAGTTTGTAAGTGCAGGGGCTTTCCCCAGGGCCAGAGTGTGAAAGATTCACCAAACAGTCACGATCACAAGCTCGGTCTCAGTTGGAAAGCATGGCACAAATACGTCCCAGAGGGCTGCACGTGCCTGTCTCAGGGTATGTCTACACTGGCAGAGTTACATCACCGGCGGTTCCATCGCCGCTCAGAGAGCACTGAAGGGAAACTGCGGTTGTGTGTTCACACTGTCATATGCCTGCGCAATAGCGTGTTCACACTTGAGGCACTTGCAGCGCTATTCAGAGCGGTGCACTCTGGGCAGCTATTCCCACTGAGCATCTCTTCCTCTTCTGCTGCTAAGAATTGTGGGAAGGTGGAGGGATCGCAGGGCATCCCGGGTCCTGTCCCAATGCCCCATAATGCATTGCTTCGCGTCCCAGCAATCCCTGTGCTTCCGTCCGCATTTGGCGCCATTTTTCAACGGGTTTGTGTTCTGCGCGCCCTGCTTCTTCTGGCTGCAAGAATGGATCCCGCACTGCTGACCAATATGCTACTCGCTCTGAATAACATGTCATGAGTGACAGTGGAGTTATTCCTTAAACTACAAAGGCAAAAGAAGTATGACACTGATCTCGCCACGTGTAGTAGCTATGACACGAGATTGCTTGTGGAATTCACGGAGGTGCTGACCACAGTGAAACGCTGCTTTTGGGGTCAGAAAATAAGCACTGAGTGGTGGGATCACATCATCATGCATGTCTAGGATGATGAGCAGTGGCTGCAGAACTTTCGGATGAGGAAACACGCATTCATGGGACTGTGGGATGAGCTCACCCCGGTCCTGCGGCGCAAGGACACGAGAATGAGAGCTGCCCTGTTGTTGGAGAAGCGCGTGGTGATTGCACCATGGAAGCTGGCTAATCCAGACTGTTACCGATTGTTCGCTAACCAGTTGGGAGTGGAAAAGTCGACTGTCGGACTCGTATTGACGGAAGCGTGCAGGGCCATTAATCGCATCCTGCTGGGAAAGACCGTGACTCTGGGCTACATGCGCTTCCCCAACTGCGGAGGGGCAATAGATGGCACACATATTCCATTTCTGGCAGCAGACCACCTAGCCACCGAGTACATTAATTGCAAGGGGTATTTCTCTATGGTTCTCCAGGCGCTTGTGAATCACCATGGGAGTTTCACGGACATCAACGCAGGCTAGTCCAGAAAGGTGCATGACGCACGCATCTTTCCGAACACTGGTCTGTTCAGGAAGATGCAACCTGGGATTTTCTTTCCAGATGAGAAGATCACCGTAGGGAAGTCGAAATGTCCATTGTGATCCTGGGAGACCCTGCCTACCCCTTAATGCTGTGCCTTATCAAGCCATACACGGGGAACTTTGACAGCAGCAAGGAGCGGTTCAACAACAGGCGGAGCAAGTGCAGAATGACTGTTGAATGTGCTTTTGGCGTTTAAAGGCCTGCTGGCGCTGCCTTTATGGGAAGCTGGACCTGGCCGATGACAATATTCCTATGCTTATAGCCGCATGCTATATGCTCGATAATAGTTGTGAAGGGAAGGGTAAAAACCTCACTCAGGGCTGGACCGCTGAGGCTCAGTGCCTGGAGGCTGAATTTGAACAGACAAAGACCAGGGCTATTAGAGGGGCGTAGCACAAGGCAATAAGGATCAGGGATGCCCTGAGGCATCAATTTGAATCTGAAAGCCACTAATATTTGTTGCTATGTTCGGGAGTGCAGTGCTTGTAATGCTAGGAGGTGATTGTAACAGGTGCAGACGATGCACTATGAAGGTTTAAGAAAATTGCCTGTTGCTTTGCAGGGCTCTGTTTGCTTTCAATTAATGGAATAAAGATTCTTTTCAAACCAAAACAATTCTTTTTTAAAAAACAACAACCGGAGGAGAGAAACAAACAAAAAAACCACATCAGCACTGTGGGGGATGGGGGAAGGGAGGGTCCCAAGAGGCGGTGGGGTCCCGGGAGGGTTAAAGATTTGTGTATGTCCAGGTATCATATGCAACCTTGTCCCCTGGAGTACAGTGCAGCGGGTACTGTACTTCAGCAGGGCTAAACTGCAGAGGGACGGGTGTTGAGTGCATTGGGTTCTAGGAGTCCACAGGGCTGGACTGAGACAGGGCAGGAGTGGAATGCAGCAGGTACAGACTGGAGCCAGGACGTTGATAAGAGTGTGTTGGCGGTGTCTGGGGGGAGCATGGGAAAGAGTTTTGTGACAGCAGCTGCAGGGGAGGGCGGGCGTGGAGCTGCTCTGTTTGCAGTGCTAGTAGTGCCTAGAGCATGTCCGCTTGGCGCTCCATAACATTTAAGAGCTGCTCCGGGGCTTCGTTCTGGCGCGCTGCGTTCTCCTTTCGGTCCCTCTTCTCGCTGTCCCACCACTCCTTCAATTCTTGTTTTTCGGCCGCGGAGTGCATCATAACATCACGCAGAAAGTTCTTTTTAGTTCTTTGTGGCCACTTTCTAATTCCGTGCAGCCGTTCAGACGGTGATCACAAAGAGGGAGGCTGGCTCCCAAGGTCATATCTGTGAAGCCAAAATGCAACATTTTACAGAAGCAGTATTGTTTGCAACACACAGACCAGTGATTCAGTGATTTAAAACACAGCCACTATTCACATACCTGTCAGTAACTGGCTGATCCTAGGCAAGCTCACGTGAGCCACAAGACCCCCAAACTGGTGAGTAGCCGCAGGGGAAATCAGTGTTCCAGGACCCTACTGTACACTGGGCATGTGGCTCTTGGAGAGAGCCAGCACTGTAGGGGGGGGCGTTATAATCATTCCTGTCCCCACATTTTCCACAGGCTGTGTTCATTATGGAAGATATCTCGCTGTTGAGGGTGAGCAGGGAATCAAGGGAGGGTCGTCTCCAAGCCCGCGGCTTCCTCCCTGGCCCTTATGCGGCTCACCTGTGTGCAGCAATGCCCCCTTTCCCCCTGACAGCAGAGTGATGCGGGAAAGTTACCCTTAATGGGGCAAGGAACAAAGCAGCTCTGCCAAATAACCTGTGGCAGCGGATTGCCCAGTGTCTCCATGAGAGTTTCGTGGAGATCTCTGAGGCAGATTCCCGTGAGGTGAGGGAGTCAATCAACACCCTGTTCCACCGCTCAGACTAGGCATGTGGTGGTATGTGCATCATACAGACACAAGCCTGCTTTCTGCAACCCTCCTGCCCCCAACATCTCGCTTCAGCGATTCCCAAAATCAAAGCCACTTACCTCCTCTCCTGTTTGCACTTCACCAAGCTCTGACAGCTGTGACTGGCTAGCCTCCTTTGGGGTAGAGAAGAGCTCCTGGCTGCATGCATCTCTGACCTCCGAGTCGTCCTCTGCCTTTGGTCCCCCTCCCCCTCCACATCCTCATCCAAGATTTCCTCCTCCTGACTCAGTGCACTCTCGACTGGCACGCGAGCCACCAAAGTATCCACAGTGGCCTTCACAGTGGAGGTGTGGTTGCCACCAAGTATTGCGTCCAGCTCTTTGTAGAACAGGCAGTTTGTGGGCACAGCACCAGAGCGGCGGTTTGCCTCCCGCACCTTGTGGTAGGTGTTCCGCAGCTCCTTCACTTTAAGCCTGCACTGCAGTGTGTCCCAGTCATGGCCTCTTTCTGTCATCATGAAATCTGTCCATAGTGTTAGGCAAAAAGATTCTTTCCCCCAAGAATCAGGCAAGCACAGACAGTACTGAAGGGCTTTATTAATGGCACCGGGAAGACTGGTAAACAGCTTCAAAAGTATGGTGTAATAGTGACCAGTTATATACAATTTTTTATTTATGCATTTACATTTATTTTGTACTTACAGGGGCAAACATGGTTACAAAAAAAAAAATTAACAAAAATAACAGTAAAAACAATACATACGTATAGACCCATCCTAATTACATCAGTTATCTGTGACTGCTTTTGGGGCGAAGCGGCGGGGTGGGAGGTGGGCAGAGTGGGGAGGGGTAGGGATAAGTGCTTACAAATATCCGGGGGCCTTGAGGGTGGTCAGCATTGTCCTTTCTTACTAATAAGCTGAGGCACTGGGTAAATATTTAAGTACCTAAGTTATCACATATTGACAGAAACTATGTCCTTGCTTCTCAGCATTCTTACTTAATTTGCGGTTTCTGTCTTTTCTGCTGGCTAAATTTTAACTCCTTCCTGACAATAGGTATCAT